TAAACTTCCAGATTTTTGCTATTGGACATGATAAAACGGCTTAGAGAACACACAAAAAAGCTGAGTTAGATGAAGGATTGTCAGACAGTATACTCGTCTAGTGGCGTAGCGGGGAGGCAAGGGGGTGTATGATGCCCCGGGCGCCGCATGATGCCCGGGCAGAGGAGCGCCAAATGGTCTCCAAACAACAAGATTTTCATCATATCACTGTGGTTTTGTTTTCTTGGGGGGCTGCCAAAAAATTATTTTGTCTTGGGCGCCAGTTATGTTCGCTACTCCCTTGTCTATGATTCATTAAATCCATTTAAGTTGTAAGATTGTAACTCAATTACGCTTGGACAGGGCTTTGTCGAGTCTGAATTTCCTTTGCTTCAAATGAAGGTGTGCCAATGAACGTGCAACTAGTTGCCAAGGTAACGGAAGTTCTTTTCCTATACAGGATTTCAGTGGTGATGAATTAAATTGACCATGATTGTTGCTGACACAGTATGAGTAAGGACTTCATGTGCAACAACATGCCATACATCTCTGCGGTTGAGAGAGAGAGTGGTCTTCTGAGACATGACAAAAACTTAGCACGTCAACTTGTAACTTGCGCACGAGCGTAGAGGATGAGCGTAGTTAATGAGCGTAGAGGAATTCAAATTCCGAATGGCATCACAAAGAGGTTTAGTCACCGTTCTGATGGAAACTTCCGTTCTACTGGGCCGATTCACGAAATTCAACTGGGGTTTTTCATGTCTGGAAAACACGACTTAGGATATGTATTAGATTAATAGTATATAACATTCTAATATAAGTATTTTGACACAAAATCCGACCTTTTTCTGAAATAACATGCTTTTTTTTTTTTTTTTTTTTTTTTTTCCCCTCATATTTCGATTCATTCTACCACTCAAATTACGCCAAACTGTCAAATTTTGTAAAAATCGCACGAATAGTTTTTAAAAAATTATCTTTCAAAATTTGAGCTCCTCAATGTTAATTGAGTTTGGTATATTTTTATTAATATTTCCTTTCTTTTAGTAAACTTATTTGATTCTTCTTTTCACATTTCGAAATTTAGGTTCATTCCAAATAAAATTCGCCCATTTTTTATGATTATTTTAAAATGTGTATTTTTAAATAATTTTTATAAATCTTTCGAAAAAAATTTTGAATTATAACCTATGAAATTTGTACAGTCATCTTAAAGTAGATATGTTTCTAAGCATACCTGTAAAAAATTAGAGCTTTTTATTCAAACTTTACGAAGATATACGTGAAATTACATATTGGCGCATTTTGAAATTCGGCATATTTGTTGAAAGCGATAATAATGAAAATGTGGTTTACGCACTTTGTTAAAATTATTTGAAAGTAGGAACAATGTGACTTTTTCCCCGCTCCTGCACAATGGAGGAAAAGAAAATAGGTTGCCATATATTAAGAATTTCGCTAAGTGAATTATTCTTCGCTCAAACTGAAAAACATGTGCGAAGTTAAATTTTTGAATTTCTCCGTAAATTTCGCACCAAATTTTAAAAAATTTAATATGTAGGCTTAATTTGAGTCGTAGAATCGAAATATGGAAGCAAACTGGCATGTTATTTCAGAAAAAGCCCTATTTTGTGTCAAGATACCTATATTAGAACAAAGTTATATATAAATCTAATACATATCTGCTTTCGAGACGTGGAAAACGCAATTTGAATTACGTCAATCGGCCCAGTAGAACAGAAGATATAGAACTGCACGCCCCCCTGCAGTGTACATTCTTAAAATTCAGACGCAGGCATTAGATAATAGCAATGTAGAGCTAGGCAGAAGAATGACGTAATTACCTCGACAGAGGTATTTATACCAAAGTAGGTGCGATTCTAGAAATAAGCTATGATTCGTTAATTCTGGTTTTATTTGCCCTTTTCTAGTAGCGTTATATAACGTAAAAAATCTCGAATTTTGGAGAACAGATGAATTTAGGGGGAGAGTACCAAATCTAGGAATATTAAGTTTGAGGTCGCCAATTATTTTTTTAAAGCAGCTATCTTACTTTAGTTATATCTTATATATATGTATGTACGGATGTATATGTGTGTACGCATGTGCACATATACACATACACACGTGCATACATACATATATACATTTCTGTATGCGGTCCCCATAACAGAATAGTACCGTTTGAGAATAACAACGAAACGGTGCAGCCAATGTCTCCTTGCACAAGATATTGAGTACGAAGTTTCAGAAAGTAATGGTCTAGCTATGGTAAAAAAATTCCTCTCCTCACTGTCAGGCTCGCGCCAAGCCTAATCGGCGCCATCGTGCAAATGTCTAGCGAGCGCTTTTATGCAGTGACAATATTAATAAGAAACTGCTTATAGTTAACACTTAAAGTGAAGTATTATTAACGTAACAATTAAAAAAAAATTACATTTTCTCCTTTAATTTTTCTAAATGTGGAAACATTTTGTGCTTTCTTAAAACCCGAACTCAAACATATTTATTGAAAAATTATACCAAAAAATAACACTGCAAGCGAAGCGAAGTTTTAGAGTTGCCATAAAATGGCAAGAGAAGGCAGGGTTGCCACATTTGGCGAGAGCCCATTTGGCGAGGAAATTGGCGATATATCGCGGACGAATGGAGAACCTTCTGGAACGAATTCTTACCGGTTTAGCCCAGAATGTTCTCGAACACAAGCCGAAAGCTATATAAACCTTGCTGGTCTGCAGCCAGTTTGGTAGTGTGCCTTGTCAAGAGGGCGAGTGTGAGTGTCTCGCCTGGCGAGCTGATAGTGTGCCTCATTAGAGTGCGAGTTAGTATCGAGTTGGTGTCTCGTCTAGCGAGTCAATTCCTGCGGAATCGATCGAGTTGACAGCCGGGCAGTGAGTGCCGAGTGGGTCGTCGAGAGCACCGAAAGAGCCTCGTAGTGTATCGCGGTTAGTGCATCGTCGAGATAGCGTGTTGAGCTCCGGGAACGACCGAACCGAAGAGTCGAGAGCTGTGCTCGTGTATCATCGAGTGCATCGCGAGTTGTAGCTTGGAGAGTCTCGAGAGTATGTGGACTTCGAGAACGACCCAGCTGAGTCGGGAGCTGTACTCTGGTGTTTTGCAGGAAGCTATCTCCACTGTTATTGCCTGACAGTGTGAAGGCTATGTCGCTGATTGTTCCAGCGTGTTTATATTAGATCTTCGACGACTGTAAAAAGTGTTATTGGAGCTGTTCTGATTAATTTTGGTTAAATAAAGTGTGTTTCGATGCTTCATCAAGTGTCGTCGTTATTCACTCCAAATCCTTACGAACCCCATACGAACCCCATACGAACGTGAAGGAAAAAAAATAACGTAACAACAAGAATAGAAAAACGTAACAATATTTTCCAAAAGTTTGCAAAAACTGCAGTTCATGCACAAGATCTATACTATTTATATCGCTGCTTTTTTTGCAGTTTCTGACATACGTTGAGCTGATCTTGTACTATATATAAACGAAACTTAGCCTTTCGTGGTTTCAGTAACAAATAAGTCGAAAGATATAATGATTTTTTTTAAGTGTATAGAAATGATCGCAAAATTTGCCCCTATCATGTCTGTACATTAATGAAACTCAAAGCACTGTGCCTCATTACCTTGGAGATAAAATTCAAAATGAAATAATTAGCATATTATGGGATAACATAAAACGAATTATTTTAAATAAGACCAAACAGGCAAAGTATTTTTCTATTTTACTTAATTGTACCCCTGATGCCAGCCATCAAGAGCAGATATCAGTTTCTATGAGGTATGTTAATTTTGAAAATACAGACGTGATTATTTAAGAAACGTTTTTAGTATTTCGTCTTGCAACAGATACGACAGGTGAAGGACAAACAATATTCTTATTAAAGACTTCAGAGAAAAATGGTTTAGACATTAGTGATTTACGCAGGCAAGGATACAATAGTTCAAAAATGAGAGGTAAACATTTTTCGAGTAATTATGCTCAAATCGTTGTTTTTCTGAATTAAAAATTTAACCTAAGTTTAACATAATATGTAACTGAGCTTACCTTTTGTTACATAAAATAACAATAACAACAAGTAATCAGCAAAAGAAAATCACATAAAAGATAAATGTTGCACAAATTACGACGATTGCAACAGTAAACACAAAATAAGCAATTTATCTAACGCGTCTACTGTGCTGGCGTTTACCCTTACATACGCATTGATATCTCGTATTTTCACGTCCATTAAGACATAAGAGAACACCAGAGACGAACTTCTGCCCTGGTTATAACCTTTCGTTCAACTAAGACAGTGCGCTAGGAGGAAGGGGTACCCAGACATGGCAAACTCGAGGCTGCTTTAACGCAGATAAACGCCCCAGCCCCTAGAGGAGATCCAAGATCCACTAACTTATCGACCAAGACTAAGCCGAGTCGATAAGAATACTTAGCAACTCATATTCCACCTCCCCGTTCTGAAGGGAAGGTAAAAACATCTGCCATCAACAGGAGCCCCAACCCCGGACTGAAGAACGAAGTCACTTACACTATCAGACAGACCGAGCCACCAATCCGGCATGCTAACTCTGCGTCAAGGTATACAGACGTCGTCCCCAGGGGGGAACCAAGGGAAGACATAAATATTCAGTTTTGAGACTCCAGGCGCACCCTGAAAACCTCAAGCAGTCTAAAGGCTCACTAAACTCGCCGACTCCACCGACGGGGGTGTTTCTTCCCGGAAAACCATGGATATTTGACTATATAACTCTACCACAAACAACGGAACGGACAAAACAATACCGTATGGTCTCAGGCGAGCTAGAACCAGCCATCGTTAGCGATGACTCTCCATCACGGTACTGATTTTATACCCCTGTGGCCGAGACTACCTAGATATAAATTATAACCAGTAGCATCCCAGGTGTTAGAGTTAATGCCCCCGGGGGGTTTGACCCTGAGGGGGCGTTCAAATAAGACAGTGCACCAGAAGGAAGGGGCATCCAGACTTGGCATGCATTAACAGCCTTTAGACGGTTAAATCGCCCCAGCCCCTGGAGGCCATCTGAGGAGGTGCCATTCCTCCCGGTCTACGCAGGGAGAATATGGTCATAGTTAGACATCGACTGTCCCCAAGTTTTGACCATCGGGAGCCCATCTCCCGAGGGCAACCTTCGATATCTGACCATGTAATGCCTCCACAACGAGGAGCAGCAAGAGGAGGAGCAGCAGCAGGAGGAGCAGCAGGAAGAGGAGCAGCGGGAGGAGGAGCAGCAGCAGGAGGAGCGGCAAGAGGAGGAGCAGCAGGAGGAGGAGCGACAAGAGGAGGAGCAGCACGAGGAGGAGCAGCGGGAAGAGGAGAAGCAGCATGAGGAGGAGCAGCGGGAAGAGGAGAAGCAGCATGAGGAGGAGCAGCGGGAAGAGGAGCAGTACGAGGAGGAGGAGCAGGAAGAGGAGCAGCACGAGAAGGAGCAGCAAGAGGAGGAGCAGAAAGAAGAGAGCAAGAGGAGGAGCAGGAAGAGGAGAGCAAGAGGAGGAGCAGCAACAGGAGGAAAGGCAGTAGGAGCAACAACAAGGTTATAGGCTTCCCCGCCTCGTGAACTAAATCACACTACGAGTCTACTCCTCCTTTGGGCACTTTATGGAGTTTCAACCTCCATTATTACCCTTCCAGGGAAGCAGCGCACCCTCTGGATAAGACACTAGGCAGCGCTGGTTGTCAATTGCTCCTGCCAGTCGCATTGGGCCGTTACCCAGCAAACCGAGGGGAACTAGCCCTCCGGCTACGGTTCCACACCGCTCAGGACATGTCAGACCCCGAGGCCGGCCAATAAGTTACCTTTCCCGGGGCCTTCAGAACCACGAAGTTCATAAATTTTATACCCCCGTGGCCGAGACTGTCTAGGTACAGATCCTAGCCAGTAACTTCGCAGAGTTCTCTACGTCGAGGAGGATCAGTAGAACGAAACATATATTCGTGGGTAAAATAATTTTCCTACGGGTGCCATTCCAGACCAACCATTTTACTACGTGCCGCCCGCAGCCCGCCATTCCATAATTGTAAACAATAATGTTGTAGCTCTAAAGATAATATTGAAACGTTTAAATTATAAATAACGCATCTGCTATCTTAAGGTTATATTTTTATATTCAATATTTTTTAACTTGAAATTTATGAGAGAATATTCTTCTGGTGGCAACTGATGTCACGTGTTTGAAATATTTTCTCCTTGGAATATCATCATAATGGCCTGCTAGTTTGACTGGTGTTTTCGAATCAAAAATGTTTGACATCTGTATCATGACTTGTCATATAAAAGCAGCACCTGCAATTGAAGATTTACCGAAACACACTCGCGGTTTAGTCCATTGACGGTAATCGCGACTGCAGCTAAAATTGCACGAAAGGAGAATAAAATGTGTTATAATAAATAAAAACCGACAGTTAATATTTTAACTATGTTTTGAAACAATTTAATTTGTAGACACGTTTATTCGGCTATGTGAAATAACACAGCAGTCTAAACAAGAGCGTACTATTAAAAAAAAGGAAAAAGTCGGAAAGGATTTAGATCGTAAATTCGCATCAGAGAGTTTGTCAAGGTTTTTTTCTGTTGCCGCTGAGCTCGCGGTTTATCTGAATGCTCTTGGACGCACTCCTCCTGACACGACTGCTCTTACCTTTTTATAACCATTATTAGTGTTATTGTTATTATTTTTATTTATAAAATGCAAAACCTCACTTGTTCCACCAGATAGGTCACGAGGCTGGCAGAAGTAAGGAAATACCTCAGCAATACGTAACAGCTATAATACAGATGAATAAGACAACACAATAATATATGACACCTAGAGCTGGAGAGAATAACAAATATATTGTTTCGGATTTTGTGTTTAGTTAGCAATTTTTAGTAGAATTGTAATTAAAATCGTTTTATTTCCCCGTGTAATGCAGCGCGTGACGAGTTTTAAGCGAAGCTACGCCGAAAAAGTAAAAATACTGGAGCACGCGCATTTAATAATAGATATCTGGTAATTTACGAGTATATTTAAACTGAACAAATGAAACTGACTACTGGGTTAGCTGTGACCGTAATTCTAATCTTTTGCTTTACAGAAATCTCGAGAAAACGGAAATTACCAGAACCTTCTGGTTCACGATTAAAAAGTTTTAAAACGCCGCAGAGAAATATCTCAGTTCATTTGTTTACATAACTGTTTTGTTGACTGTAGCGAATTTGCAGTGAGATCGGATTAGCTTTGTGGGAGGGCGCTGTGATCACGTACGATGGACGCAGGATCTTGGAAGAGCTCCTGAATTTTCAAAGGTGTTTTCCAGAAAATCTTCATTTATTTAAGAAAATTTTGCGAATATCCTCTGCATTGTCTCGTTCTCAAGGCCGGGAGTTTCTCCTGTACCTGGGGGTCTTGTCTTCCTTGCAATCTTTTGCAGCACTAAGACGGAGCGTTCAGATAAGTAGAAACTTCTTTTCTCTAAGCTAAATCAAATATTTGTCACTAAAGTACCTTTAAATTCATTATTGTTATGATCATCATTATTATTATGCTCATTTTTATTATGTCTGGCATTAAATACTAGTAATTGCTTTAAATCATGTGGTTTTTTTTTTATTACCATTCATAGGGACGCTATCCTTATCAGTAGCCCTATCAGTAGTGTTAGCCCTAACCATTGGGGCCCCTACCTGGGGAATTTCTCGAGAGGGAAAAAACACGATCTCGGACCTAAATGAATGTATAGAGTTGTAGTTTTTGCTCCTTTAATCTATATTTCCTATCTATTTAAATTAAAAAGCATATATTATACAGTGTGCCTCAAATTGATAAAATAGTACACATATAATAAATTTATGACCATTATAAATAAATAAATAAAATGCTTATTTTTTTAAAAAAATTAATTAATATTAAAAAAAACTCCGTAATTTATTTACTTATTTATTTTTGCTGATATGTTCTCGCCTTGTTTTGGATTTATGATTTTATCTGATGGTGTTTTCTGAGTATATAAATATGTTGGAAACCGCAATAGATGATGTTACTTAGTTTAATGCATAACTTTGCATGATATTATATGTATCTTGATCTTATGTGTCTTCTGTTACTGTGTCTCAAGGTATATTGGTTTCCATGTTAAAAATAAAAGTTTAAATTTTTAAAAATTTTTAATTTTAGTTTCCCTGTTATAGCAAAAGTTAGCTTCTAAAACTTGACTTATACTGTTATGGAACTGGACCCCAATATTTATTATTTTATTATTAATTTTCCCCCCATCTTTACATCTATTCAGCTTTACAAAACCACACTCATTACACACACCTGGAAGACTCTATTTAATGTAAATGATAACAAACTTTGACTACACTCATGAAACAATAGTGGTTTTTTTTTTTTTTTTTTACAAAATTCTCTATTTCCTTTCCTTTTTTTCTATAGGCCTTTTTTTTTTTTTTTTTTTTTAATTACAAATAAAAAAAAAAATTTTTTTCCTCTCATTACTTTGGGCCATTTATTTTTTACTTATTTTGCCCATCTTTCTTCCTGGCCTTTCGAACTCGTATAAAATATACGAAGTTCCTTTTTACTCTCCTCTGAAATACGAAATTGCCCCCCTTTCTATATACCTTTCCTTCGCACCTATGCTTGATTTTTCGCCCATCGGTGCAAGACTTAGCGGGTGCAACAAAAGACATCTGTCTACTTTGTCTGTCTGTCCGGATTAGCTTTGTCGGAGCCTTGGATTGCGTTTTATTTGATGTTTTTGTAGTTTAAAATGTAACTACTGCGTGATATTGTACGCATATCTATGACGAAAAAGCCAGCATTGTGTTTTATTACTTGTGATAAGAATAAATTTTGGCCCCCCCCCCTGGCCCAAGCGCCCTTATGCGGTGAACAATTTTGCCACCCCCAACGCGGCAGCCCTAGCTATTAGGGCCTCTAATAGCCTTGCTCAGAAGGTTTTGATGAAGTTACAAACTAAAGTAAAGAAATAATTTTATCTAAATATAATGGATAATACTGCTCAAAACCAATTCCTTACCCCCAGAGGCGTAGCTAGGGTTTTCAGCACCCGGGGACAACTGAAGATTTTGCGCCCCTTTATCTGTGCCAAGAATGGAAAATATTTCATTCTAAAATTTCGCAACATCAATTTGGCGAACCCCTGAAAGCTGCTCCCATGGATAAATGTTCCCCCTTGCCCCACCCTAGCTACGCCACTGCTTACACCCCCCCCCAGTGTAGCACTTCTTAATTTTAGTTTCCTTTTATTTCGTTTCATTTCTAAGATGCAAAATTTAAAATAACTGTTTTCCTTAATGTTAGTAATTTATATTAACTTACATATATTTATACTGAATTGTAATTATTTATTTTTTCTCTTCTACGTTCCGAACCTTTCATAAGGGGCTGAGCTAAAGTAAATTACTTAAAGCATATGAAAAATTACTCTTTTATTGTTAACAAATCATAATAAGTTTTATTAATAAAATGTTACTTAGAGTTAAATTTTCTTGAGGGATTAAAGAAGCGTAATTAACTATCTAAAAAAATAATAATTTGAAGAAACTTTTAAGATGTTCCTACTTTATGTCCAAATGTTTATTTAGTGCTGCCATCTATCATTAGATATTCGAACTTCAAATAATATTTTATAGTGAAGTTTTCAGTTACATAATTTTTCATCGCGGGAATACCTGTAAAATTTCACGGAAGTTTCAGTGATTTGAATAGCTTGGAATTCTTACGTAACTTTAGAAAATCGATGATGTGTATCTGCATGTGTTTCATTTTTTAATATCTAAGCAATTTACAGGAAAATCTAAAATTCGGTTTTTTTTTTTTTTTTTTTTTATGAAATTTTTCCTTACAAAACAAAGCATTAAATTCATTTTAAAAAATGTATTTTAGTAAGATTTAACATCTGGAATATAAGAATTTTTTTTTTTTTTTTTTGTTTTTTTTTAACTTTCGATATTTTGATAGTAATTTCTTTCGAAACAAAATCCTCGATATTTTTTAATCAATTTTCAGTTTCTTTCAGTTACTAAACATATTAATCAAATGATATCTCATTTGTGAAAAGAATCGTTAAATTGGCCTAAGCTAATTGCTCAATAATTGCAGGTCTTTACTTCGAAAGAAAAAGGTAATTCCAGATCTCTCTTGCATAAGATTTGATTTACATCGAATCATTGCCTCCAGAATACCTTCTACAAATTTTGAAAGCCTTGTAAATTACTCAGTTTCTTTCATTTTGCTCCTAAGCTAAATGAAGATTCGTTTCAATGAATTATAATAACATCCACATTACATAAGATATATTTTATTATTTACGTGTTCCGCCCTAAGGCACTACACGAAAGAGAGGGATGTCTTCGTGGAGGACTTTCTAAGGGAAACTGGCTCGTATTAAGGGGACAGTGGACGATGATTTTAGCAAAAATCGACCAAAAATTGGGAAATAAAAACTTCATATGATAATATTCTTCGGTTTTAACTGTATCGTCTACAAAAACCCGCTTTTATGTAAAATTATTTTCAAAGAATTTATAAGCGTTTGAATACGTTTGTTTACC